CAATATGTTCCCAGAAGGTACAATATCATTCTGAGGCCAAGGAACAGCCTATTAGCTCTGCATGCCATTAATTTTCATGAATAGTTCAATCTGATGCTCACAGGAACTGTTGGGCATCTTTCCATTTTGTCTCACAGACCTGGATGAGGGCTTATTTATCTTTTTACTTCACTCCTTACCTTTAAGGCCTTTGAGCAGCTCATGCAGCTGTGCAGGTTTCCAGCCCTGTGCCAGGTTCAGTGCCCAGCAGCAGGCAGGATGCTGTCTGCAGCTCCGAGTGATGGCATGTCACAGTCAAAGCCATTCAGGGAGAATTAAACTTCTGGCTTGTTTGACTAAACTTCTGAATTCACCACAGTTCCCCTGTTTTGCCAGCCTGAAGAAACAGCCCAGCAGGTTCTTGACTCATATGCCAAAATGCCTCCTTCATCCTTCCTGGAACTGGAAATGATTACTAATAGGTATTCGTGCTGAAATGATTTAGCATAACATGCTGAATGAGATCACTAAGTCAAAGTATCTTTTCCTAAGTGAGTCTCTCACTGCTTGCCTGAATGCCAGAGGGGAAGGAGGATAGCATGAAGCAAATTCTTTTGCTGGCTTTTTACAAAATTTCGTAAATTACTGAAGAACTCGCAGTAGGAAGTTTCACTCAGGTTCATTAGAAGAGATCCATGATGCAGGTCTGGCAGGCAGAGGAGGATGGAGACACTGGGGTTTGGGTTAACCTCTCTTTTTCACACTTCCCCTTTTTCAGTGCTCTCCAGTCTAGGCTGGGCACTGCAGACAGGCAGTGAAACCAGGAGGGCAGGAGAGCAAGGCTGGGGAGGGGCTGGGCATTCTTTGCCCTGCATGCACAGCCATGGATGTGCATTGCTGTGGCAGCTGCATCTGCTACAGGAGGCTGCAGGCACCAAGGGAAACAGAATTTGGGGAGGAACAGGGGTGTGCCCCACAAAACCCACCTCAGCATGCCAGGGATGCTCAGGGTTCCACTGAGAGGCCAGGCTGCCCTTACCCATCTGAGTCTGTCAGGCTCAGAATTAACTTATTGAGGTCAGTACTCATAACAGGAGTGCAGAGTTTTGATTGAGTCTTCCTTTCTGAGAGAGCCCCATCGTCTCTGGCCCAGTACAGCTATTACCTGCCAGCCTAAAGGATGATGAATGTTATTTATATTGCAGTAATGGCTAACCACTCAGAGGAGACCAGGGACAGGCTGTGCTATGGACTTTTCAAACACCCACTGAATGAGGGCTGCCCACGCAAGTGCCAAGGCTCTTCAGGATAATGTTCTTGAATGTCTTGGACACAATGACCTCCAACAACTGCAGCACTTGTGCTGACTGCAACAACACTGGGGGCTGCTCTACAGTAAAGATGTTCTTTCATACCAAATTCTTATCAGCCACTGTGACATGCCCTTATAATAGCAAAGAACTCATCTACTTCAAAGCAAGCAACTACTTCATAAGAGGCTTTAAAGTTTCTTGATTAATAAATGTGAAATATAATCTCTTTCAAACCAAACAGAAAATGCAGAGGTATAAAGAGTTATTCTAAGAGAAGGTTTTCCTAATATTTAGCTGCTATTGTTCTGCTGTCCAAGAAATAAAGAATCAGTGAATAAGAACTACTCAAGAGGAAGATGAGAAAAGTAATCTAGCAATAGTAAAAGATGAAGAGCCTGATCCTATAAAAAATCCTGTAAGACCAATTTAACTTTGGCATGTGCACACTTGCAGGATTAGGCTTCAAATAATTGCAGAGAAATGTAAGAACTGATAAACTATAGCTTTAGCTTTCCACTACAGTGAGCCCAGAGAGTGGATAACTAACACTTCCCAGGAAATACTCTTCCAAGAAATAGACCTGCAAAGATGCAGAAGAACTACATCTAAAATATTAAATGAAGTTTTTTTTTTTTTTTTTTTTTTTTACTATTAGTTATTCTCTTTGTATCTTGGAAAAATCACACAGTGACTTCTTTAATATGCACTGAGGTAAAAAAATCTAAAATATTAAGTGACACATTCTACCAAGGAGTGCCTTAGAGAAGGTGCTGTGAAATAAGTGTCAGACCCTGTTTTATTCCTTCCACAATTAATTTTCCACTACCACAGATCTAAAAATATGTCCAGAAATCAGCAGACAGTTGTGTCCATCAGATACCTGATTAAAATACAAGTGCTAAGAAACACCTTACCCTTAATTATACTTTTTACACTTAAAAACTGCTTTAGACAGGGCTGTGTCAGAGCTTCAGAGCCAAAAGCCTGAAGATTTCAGAGCCCAGCAAACAGACTAAGCAGGGAATAACCTGATGTGCTTTCTTCTGCCTTTTCCATCAGATGAGTGGTCACTCCAAAACTGAATGGGAGAAATTAAGCACACAGTGAGAGACTGCAAGCACTTTCTGGCTGTCTCAGTTCTAGAAGGCTCCTAAGAGGAGTGATGTCTCAGCATCTGGGCATTCCTTTCACTGTCAGACACTAAGAGCAGTGGGATTTATCAGCAATCTGCTGAGCATATACAGATGACAACTGCAGAGCTTGGAGAGCTCAAAGGCACTTACAGATAGAAAGGGGTTTGCAAAAGACATGTTGAGCCAGAGCTGAGACCTGGAGCCTGTGAAAATTGCTCCCAATTGCTGTTAAACCTTTAGCTGTGGTAGCTAACCCAGGCACTGCAATATGCACAATTTATCCTCAGTGTGCTTCACAATTGCACAGAGTGTCTGAGGGAGGCTGATCAGCCCCCATGTCACATTTTACAAGGAAAAGGCCAATGGGATGATTTTGGAAGGTGGTCTTTGCTGCCTAAACTACAACTCCATCTATCACTCAAATACATGGAAATGAAGTGTTTATGAACGGGTTTTGGATTTTTAAAGTACAAATTTCATAAAAAATAGATTTAAAGCTCTCTCCAGCTCCCACATCTCACCTAATGGTACTTTATCCCTTGTTGATTTCCAGCCTGTTGCCCCACCATGATCTACATATCTTCCTAAATCTTTTAAAGTATCTTCTTGTCAAAAGGACATGACTTGCTGACATCACAGAGATGCATTATATCAAAATGTTTTTGCTGTACTGACATAAGCTCCAAATTATTTCCAAAGTCAGCTGTATTTTCAATAATTTGTCCCTTTTTCATTTTTCAAAATAGCTTTATTCACCTGTGATAGCAAGTTTCTTAAGTCCCTCCATCCTCAATCCAGACAGTGATGGAACTCGGCACCAAACTTTTTATAGCAGCAAATGTGTTTTTGTTTCCCTGGCATCCAAAAAAATTTAAATCTTTCTTCAGCTACAGTCTGTACAAAAGTGTGTTAGCTCTGTGGTGTTCAAGAATAGCTAGTTAGACTCTGAGGCTATACATTCTTCTGCTAAAAGATGCATTATCACATCTATGTCTAAATATTTATGGTTCCTGTTTGCTAAAAGCAACACCTACAATTGCTGTAATTGGAAATGACAAAATAAAAAAGAAATTCTTCCCCAATTTGCCACCCTTTTGCATCTAAGAACACTAAATATATAGTCTAGTTCATCAGAGTTTTGCCTGTTTCTGTTCAGCTATAACAGGAGAGAAATAACTGTGTTAAAAAAGAAGAAAATGGAATTGTAAATATGACAGAAATGGAAAGAGATTTGATGGGTTGATGCAGCATCTGAAACCCCTTAACACATGTGAAAGGAAAAGATCACAGAACCATACAATCATTTAGGTGGAAAACATCTGTAAGGCCACCGGATCCAACCATCAAGGCAGCACTGCCAAGCCCATCAGTAACCCAGGTCCCTGAGAGCCCCATCCACACATCCTTTAAACACATCCAGGGATGGTGACTCCCCTGAACAGTCTCTTCCAGTGCCTGACAACCCTTTAACCCTGCTAACTTTTGTCTCACTCAACTGCTTTTAACCACCACACCAGCAAAGATTGCCATCATTTACTTCCATTGGACCTCCTTGCTCAGCAGCCTCATTAAGCTTTTACCCTTACTAGCACAGTTTTCAGGCACTACACTTCATATAACTTGTCACTAATATGCTTTCTTCTCCATTTTTGCATATTTAAGTAATTGAAAAAGTTTAAAACACTCCACCTTTTTTTTTTTTTTGTGAGTGGGGACTTGTCATCATGTAGATCTCACAAAGGAAAAAATACCAAAGCAGAAAATGTCACGATGTCTCTTTCAAGCAGATGGTATTACAGTAGCACTGAACAAGTTTATATTAATTACTTTCAGGAAGAGAAGGAGATGTCATATTTCAGAAAGAGGATCCTACCAAACCTATGAAGAACAAGCCATAAATTTAACAATAGTGAGATTCTTTCATAGAATCATTATGACAGCTGTCAAACTGGGGAAAACCTTTTGTTAATGCCAGTACAATTGTTCATTTAAACAAAAGCCAGTGATTCAGTCACACTGGAACAGCTCATGAGCTGAGCTCTGCTGCACAATCTGCACACATGCAGATAGTCCATCCATATGCAGAGTTGCTCTTTAGTTCTCATCTTTGGGGCTGCAATGTGATTTGTCCAGAGCTGAACAGAGCCCTACCAAAATCAGGGCAGAAGGCAGTTTGTGATTGAGCAGTAACAAGCTGCCTGTGTTTTCTCTGGTGGAAAGGGGGAGGTTTGGCACCCCAGGCGAGCAGCTGGTGCAGGACACCCTCCCTGCATGTCAGGCTGGCCACGTGGTCACCCTTTTTCCCTGTGCCCTCAAAATAAGAGACCACAATTATTTGTAGATATGCACCCTGTGTGCAGTGACAGACTGAAGTACCAAAGGTGCCAACTATATCGTCCCTCAGAGAGGGAGCTCACAAGGAAATCCCAGTACAGATCTTGGCACTGTCACAGGATATTTGCAACAACAAAAATGCAGAGATCCCACCCCTCCACCCATGGGAGGGGCTGGACCATTAAAACAATTTACTAACAGCAAAACCAACTCTGAAGAAGAGATGGAGTGTAAATCTTACCTCCTCATAGACATCATCATTCCTGCTGAAGTCTCCAGCCTTCCTTGGCAGCACATGGACATGAACATGCTGGAAACATGAAACAAAATAATGGTCATTATCAAGTTCATGACTTTCTTTTCTGAACTGTCAGCATTATTCTCAACACACACAAGTAACCGTGCACAGGCTCCCACAGCATTATATTCAGAGGAAAATACATTAACCTGTTCCATAACTGTATCTCAACTCTTTGGAGAATATAAAAGATGAAAAACATTAGAGAGCAGCCCTGGTGTATTATATGAGCTTCAGAGTGAAATGCCTGGAAGTTTAGGGGCTCTGTGGAATTATTCATAGTTGTCAGTCAGAGACATATTTAGGCACAGCTTTGAAATAACAATGTCCCTTGGAGCTGAGTGTTGTGGCTTTGGAAGAGAGGGGAATAAGAAGGTACTGGAGATGGGATGTGGGGGAGAGCTCGTGTGGGCAGCCTGGGCTCAGGGCTCCCTTCTGGGGACAGAGCAGCTGCCACACCATGGACAGCACATGGGCACAAGGGCTGGCAGAAGAGGACAGCGCCTCCCACAAAGTTAAAAACACTTCAATGCTTCTCTTCCTCCCTGGAGGATGTAGCCCAAACACAACAAACTGAAACCTGTGGGGCACAAGCCTCATGCTGGGGACACACCTGCAGGGACAGAGAGCCAGGTGGCCCAAAACCTGTGAGGCATAAGGATTATGAGCCCAGTTTGGCAGAGCCTGAAGTGTGTCCCTCTCCTGGTACAGGGCCATTGCCCATGGGGTAGCAGAGCTGGGCACTGAGCTGCACAAAGGCTGCACAGGCAGCTTTGGGTTACCCAGTTTGGGAAGGAGGTGAGTGGTGATGTGTTTTCATCAAAAGTGCTCATGAGAACTGGGGAATACAAACAAAATTATGGGCAAGAACACAAATACATGACTTGGCCCCTTAGTGTTGTGTCATTACTATTACCTTTTTTATTTTTTCTTGACACTGTTCATGCCATAAAGGAAGGTCCTCAAGACCCAAACTCGACTGGGAAAAATACTTTCCTGCAGTAAGTTGAGCTACTAACAAAATTGCAATGCATTCTTTTTTCTTTTTCCCTTTGTCTTTCACTCTTTAGCAAAGAAAAACAATAACTGAGAATAATTCTTCAGGGAAAAATACCCCAACACCTCAGTGAGGAGAGGCAGCAAATAATCTGAGTGATAGATCACATTTATGCACCTTCAGATCTTTTTAGATGGTGCCTAAATCCTTTAAAAAAAATGACTGAAAATCAGAAACTGCACCAAATGGTTTGCAAAGAATTTAGATAGCTTGCAACTGATTCAATTTGATGAGGTAGAAATCAGCTGAAACTCCTGCACCTCATGGAAACATTCTCAAAACATGGCTTAACTCTATATTGAAATATGAAATCAAAAAAGGTTTTCTTAGGCTATTTGTAAGAAAATTCAAACACACCTATATTGTGTTAGCTTCTATCCATAATAACATTTGCTCAGTGAATAAAATGAAAACACAAGGATGTTTCAGTTAATGAAATATTCCAAATACCACACTATTTTTTTTCCTCAGCTTTACCCTAGAGAAACTGAATATGTGATTTCTTATTCTTATCATTATCCACAGCTTTCAGTCTATTCAGACTAGAGATGAGGGTGAATCTTGAGGGTCAGAAACTGTGTTTTTGAGTAATATATCAGTGATAGTGTTCTGATAGTGTATTATACTAATATATCATAAGAGCAAAAGTGCTCCTGTGATGTATTAGTGCAATGTATCATCTGAACATCACTGCTGGTATGATGTATTACTCAAAATCACAAAGCAACTTTAAAGACAGTCTTCAGTAGCCCTAGGCCTGAAATTTCACTTTTGGACAGACCTTCAAGAGAAATAAAAGTGTAGATTAAAGTTTGCAGGGGTACTGTAAAATTTCACTACTGTCACACACCTGTTGTTCTCATTAGATTTTAAATTTATTCATAAGGATAGAGCCAGTTCATCTGCCAGTCAGTTCCCTTCTCTTCTGCTACAAGGAACGATAGTTTTGCTACAAGTATCAATTTGCAGGAATTTCTCTTGATGATACATATAAAACCTAACATCAGCTATCAACAACCACATTCCCCAGAAATTTGGCCACCTTTAAGCATAATTTTTATCTCTGGTGCAGAATGCTCCAGGACATGCACAGGAGAAGATCCATGTATACCCGTGACAGAGGATTTGGAATATCAGAAAACACGCAGGGATGAGTCCAAAGCTCAGAGCAGAGATGCTGCACTGCAGATGCACAGACCAGCACAGCAGGTAGTGAATGAGCCTAATGTGATCTTCTACCCAAAATGGGCTCTTATGATCAGTGTGGAAAATAAAAAAAGAATAAAAAGTGTTTATGACAGCATATGGGCCACTTGGCATCGGTGGGGATGTTCTCAGGGGTTAGTCACCTTTACTACAGGCATTATGTTCTCACACACTGCCAGGCTGCACAGCAGAATCCATCAACTGTATCACAACACAAATGAATATTCCCAAGGTTTGAAGTAACAACAATCAATTTAAAAGAGAGTAATTTTTCCCAGTCATCCATTTTTGGTTTGATTTTTTGGGGGTTTTTTGGTTGTTTTTTTTTTTTTGTTTTTTTTTTTTTTGTTTTTTTTAATTCTGTGTATGGGAAAGAAATAAATATCTGGATTCTCCTCACTGTTTGTATATCAGAAACAAACAGGATCAGCAGCAGTGTCTCATATATTTCCCCTCTATTCAGTTTTACCAAGAAATACAAGCAGTGCAGAGCTGTGGCTACCATGCAGTCAGAAACACCGAACAGGAGATTTCACACCTTCTCCAATCTGCCTTTCAGCTTCTGCCCTTCTCTACTCTGAGTGGCTGATACTTTGATTCATTAGGAGATCTTTAATTGATCATTTTACTCCTCAGTACTATTTGTTACTGCTAAAGCCTCAATTCACCAAGGCACTTAAGCACCAGCTCCATTTCCAACCTGTGCATTGCTTCAGTGGGAATATTCACATCCCAAATGTTTTGTTTATGTCTCAGTGTTTTCCATCCACTGCTGGCTATAGAGAGGTCTCCCTAAATGGCAGTAGCAAAAATAACTTCAAGGTGCCCACAAATGAAAGTTGTTTCCTTTCATTTGTTTTTCCAAGCAAAACAAAAACCTGCACATCCAAAAAAAACCATTTGCAATTGACTGAAATACGTCGGATACAAACAAAACACTGGAATGCCTTTTTTTTTTTTTAAGCCAAACAAATAGATTTAGGCAAACCTTCCATCAAAACACTGCTGGAACAGAAAACATCTAAAATTGACCAAAACTGTCAAAATAAAGCATTTTAATTTTTTTCCCCAGTTATTGTGGGGAGCCTCATGCCTGGTGGGTGGCAGACAGCCCCATCACATTCCAGCAGGCTGTAATCACTCACTGTTGACGGCATTTCATTTTTTTTCCTAAAAAAATTGCTTTCCCCTCATTTTGCATGATTTTGATTAATAAGCAAGGAAAGCAACACACAACAGCCAAGACATTTACATTAATGGACCAATCAATATCACCCACATCAGGGCAGGAAAATGCAGGCACACACTTGCATTGCTTATCTCCATCCCCTGCTCCTCAGGCACTGATGGAAGAAGCAGGACACTGCCAGGCTGGGTGTGACAATAGTGACAATGTGAGGATGCAACAGAAATCTCCAGGTGTGGTGGACTGTGTGAGTTAAAGATGCCTGAACCTTGCTAGTTGCTTCTGAAACCAGGGGCAAGATTTCCAGTCAGGGATATTTAGAACAGCAGTAGCTGGAAGGAGGCTGTGGGAGCTGGATTTTATAGGACCTTCAAAATTAAAATTATTAGACTGACATTCTTCTACGGTAGGGACTGCAGCTCTCCCTGCTTTGCAATGTAAATAAAATCTCAGTTTGAGAAACTTCTAATGGTGAGTGTTTACAGGTGATGCAAAATCACTCACAAGAGAAGTTTCTTCAAGGCCTTTATACAGAATGACAAGAGCATCAGAAAATTTACTGCAAGTAACAGATCTGTAGCACCATGGGGAACTAATGAGCCAGAGCCAGTGTGAGATGCCTCTGGCCTCCCACTACAGCAAGAGGATGCTCTGAGGAGCTCCATGGCTCCAATCAGGACCATGGGAGCACAGAGCTGCTCATGGGCACTCATCCCACACTGCCAAAGTCTGGCTGCATCACAGGCATTTGTGGGATTACACCACTAAAGCTGCTCTCCAGTGAACCAGGGCTGCAAAACGCCCAGAAAGTCTCAGCCAAAAGACCTGGAGCTTGTGTTGTTGGAGGAACAAGCATTCAGGTCAGGTAAGTTTTACTTGAGCACTCAAGGCCATGCAGGAAGCAATGTAACTGGTAACAGCTGGTTTTATACACTGAATTATGGTCAAATAACCAATGTGTCGCCACTGCATGTGATTTAAAGTGAAAACACCAGACAAAAATAGACAGTGAAAGAGATTTCCCAGGTAGACCAGAATAGTGAAGAGCAGATGACCCTGCCACTCACCACTGGGGAGGACATGGGCATTGCCTGCAATAACTCACAGACATTATGTTGTTTTCACTCAGCTGCTGTGCTGGTTAGCAGAGCAACAGAGCTCAGCTTCCAGTTGAAATGGAGATAATAATCTTCACATGAGCTGCTCAGCACCCAGGGTCTATCAGCAATAGATGTTCTTACAGCATGAACACATAAAAGCTTGCAAAGGGTCATACAACCTTGAGAATGAGGGGCTGCTCCCCCCACATCTGCAAAAGCAGAGCATGGCTGACCTGTGCCTTCCTGCAGCAAAACCAGATGCTTTCAGCAGCTTCATCCTTCCCCTTGTTACTTTTCATTTTTTCTGCATCAAAGCTTGGCAGCTGTGGGTTTCCACGGTCTCAGGGTGCAGCAGGACAGGAAAAGCTGTGACCTGCTATGGCTGTGGCCAGGCAGGAGGAAGGGCTGGAGGGGAATCAGCAGCTCCAGGCAGCAAGAGCAGCTGGCCAGGAGACATTGAGCA